GCCCACCACCACACCGTTCTTACACACTCCCCCTCCGAGTATGCTGCTCTTGTGATAAATTGTTCGATATGATGTGGAATCCTGTCTTTTGTCGAGTTTGCTGCAGCTAGCGCTTGAGCTAAAAGCAGAAGTGCCGGGCGTGCTTTGCGATATATCGATCGATCGGTCATTTAAACCTATGGAAAAGTCTCGATAAACAGGGTGTTCGCAGTGAACACCTTAATTATCGATTATCTACCACAGCTTCAAATGAGAAAATATCGAGAGATCGCACGCTACGTCACTGGAAAGCAGTCGTGATTCTTAAAAATCGGCAACACTGTGTTTCCTCCACTTAAATGTGTGCAAAACAATCGATTCTTCGCGGGGTTTCGCTTCGGCAGAAGCGAGACGGTACGTATTCTGCCGTGCTAAGGAAAAACGCCGTATGAACCTTCAGGCGTTGACAAATTTCCTTTAATAAATCACAAATTTTTGAGAAAATTTATGAACATTTTTCCTCCAATTTTTCAGATAATTCTGTTCGCGATTTCACCTGAAGTTCCTGAAAATTTCAAGGAGAAATATTCAGAACTTTCCTCAAAAATAAACATTTTATCAAATGAAATTTGGCAACTCTCGAATGTTCATACGGCGTTCTTCCTTAGCACGGTGGTGTGGTCAACGGTAAGCGGCGTTCAAATACCTGAAGGGGAAAGGGCGTTGCGCGAAGTATAACAAGCATGAAATTTGCAGGGTGACCCATCAGAAACAAAGAGAGGGAATCGGGGGAGCCGCCATCAATAAATGATGTTGCGGACGTTGGATGTTAAAATGTTAAACACGGTAGGTCGAGGGTGGGGTGCCTGCGGGCACGTTTTCAAATGCACCCGGTTTGCCATGTTCGTCGGTTGGTAATTCTGGAATTCGTCCGTTTAAACTTATGAAGATCAATCGATTTATATCGATGTAGGCTGCCTTGACTAGAATCGATTATTCTAGTGAAAGCAGGGAAAACAGTGTTGCCAAATAGCTAAAATCAACTTTAGGTAGCTTCCGTGAAACGGCGTTAGCTACCGCTTTTCCCTATCCTGCCAATGGCGTGGAGTGCTTCGCGATGTATATGTCGCAGGCAAATAGTAAAATCAGGCATTTTGTCAAATGCCTAGGCAAATAGTAAAATATTCTAACTTAGAGCGAAATTCTAATTCTTTTCCTAATTTCAGACAAAATAATTCTTTGCTCCTGCAAGAAAAAATTTTCAATAAAAATGTGCACACACACACTAGTATTTTAAACAATGTTTAGCTCCTGAAGAGTCACTGATCTTGAAATTTTCAGCATGTCGTAAAATACAGAATTTTCGGAATTTCAACATTTAAAAATAAGAGAGGCAATTGAAGAGGAAAAGACAATAAGAGTTCGTAGGTTTGATGAGTTATTTTTCCAAAAATAGTGAAAAATCGTGAGCTCTTCGCCATAAATACACACAATTTTGTAGACCGTCAAAATTTGACTATCTGCCTAGGCATTTGACAAAATGCCTGATTTCACTATTTGCCTGCGACATATACATAGATTGATCTGCCATTTAAACCAATTGAAAAGGATCGATAAATAGGTCGTTCGCGACGAACATCTTAGCAATCGATTCTTTACCATAGCTTCGAATAGGGAAATATCGAAAATCGAACAGCCATGCCTCGCCACTGTTTCCTGCCGTGGTGAGGAAGGGCGCCGTATGAATTTTTGGGAGTGGCCATTTTTTTTCCTGCTAGAATACGAAGTTTCTGGGAAATTTTAGAATTTTCAAGCTTAAAATGTGTTCAGGATTTCACTCGAAAAATTGAATGCACTTGAAATTTTAGTAAATTACCAGGCCAAATTAGCAACACGGCGTGTCCGATGAAAGTCACCCTCGTGCTTTTGTGACTTTTACGAGCTCGTTTCAGTCTCGAGAGAAACCTTGCCCACGGGCTCGGTGTTGCATTGAACTTTACCCACTTTGATTCTGAGGGACTTCCTGCCCTCCAACATGGTTGCAGATTTTTAAAAAAATTCTAAGTCTCTTTCATATCTTTTGCAAACAAATACGACGGGAAAAGTCGAAGAAGGCGTATTTTGACTCACGATGTTGCAAACTTTACTTTCGCATTTCATATTTCGACGGAAAACTGATGAATATTTTTGTTGTTGAAATTTTTACTCTTTTTTATGGAATATCGATGGTTCAAGTGCGGAATCTCGTATCCTCTTTTGTGATGTTGCAGACTTCCTTTCAGACTTGATTGTTCCTTTGGAATTTAAACTTTGGTTTGGAACTACTACTTTGGAAAATTAAACTGAAAACTTTGGTCAACTAAATTTTCTGAAAACTTCCTGCATTTTTTTCTCTGTTAGCAGAATATTCTGAGTAAACGACCTATGAAGTTGCTTGCTTTTCTTTTAGCGAATAAAATATGAGCGTAAGTTTTGAAACCCCGCAATGAAAATACTTGGTCTCGCACTATTGCTATTGGTGTTCTGTGAGAAATTTGAAAAACTGAGTTCTCTCTTTTTTTAAAAAAAAAAAAAATTATACAATAAAATGTCCGCTAAGGTTTTGAAACGTCGCAGGTAAGATACGTGTTTTCATCACCAAAAAGAGATACCTATTATTTATGCCTAAGAATCAAATGTTTCCAAACGCATTTTCCTCTGTATTTTTATTCTTCATAATAATATATTTTTGTATTTGTTTGATTGTTTCAGACTGCTTACACTTACAACTTTACCGTGATAGTCGGGATCGATACAAGCAGGGTCAGACCAAAGCGTCCCTCTCGTTGCAGTACTTCCTAGGAGTAGAATCTGGTAAATCTTCAGTTCATCATCTTATCTGGTTCCTTCTCTTTCCATATCAACGGTGAAAGTACCAAACTACTTATCTGGGTCTGAAGCGGTGTAATTTTTTTTTTTTTTTTTATCTTTACTGTCCTCATGAAAGGCTGATGATCTTTTTTGCACACTTTTTGGAGAAGCAGGGCTGGATTTAGAGTGGGGTATGAAGAGTGACTGCTCCATGCCCCATCGTCACGAGGGTGCTAAAATGAGAGAAAAATAAAAATTCGTGTAAACGGAGGAGAAAGAAAATTAGAGGTAGAAAAACAAAGCAGCGATAAGTATCGAATTAACCGGGTTGCACAAATAGACCGCGTTAAGCAGAAAGGTACCAAGCCACCCCTGGTAAAAATTGGCTATAAGAGCTGCGTTTCAAAATACCATAGGAATTTTTATAGCCGGCTAAAGAAAGCTACAGAAAATCACATAGCTAGCTGTAGAATGCGGAGAAAATCATACGGCCGGGCTATACGAAGCGATAAAAAATTATGCAGCCGGGCTATAGTTCCTATCGCCGGGCTTTACACTCTATCGCCTGGCTGTTACTTTTTTGCCATCGATTGTAAAAGGCTATAAAAAGTTGTGTAGAAATTCTTGTGCTTCGAAAATCATTAAGTTAGATACGGAACCACCTTAGTTTTTACAAAACACACATTATATTTTCCTCTAATACATATTTTTTTCATCAATTAAAATGAGAATAATCGATACAGGATGTGCAAACATTTCTAAATCATGAGTTGAATAACGCTGACTCCGCCAGATTAAATATTAGAGCCTAACTCAAAGCGGAGCGGCGACGCACTGGCTGCCCGCCTGCCGCGGGCTACCGCCAAATTTCATTGGGCGGTTTAATTTCTTGCCAAAAAAGGGTTGTGCGGATTTTCGAGCAAATTTCAGTGAATTTGCTGCATAGTTTGAAGCAAATTACTTAAAATTTTCCAAGGAATCCGCAGAAATGTTTTCTGGTAAAAAATCAACTTGCCCGTTTCCTTCGAAATTTTAAAACTACCTAGTGCGACACACACACCAAAGAAAAATTAAAGTTTAATTTGGAAATAGCTGTGATAATAACAGGTAATAACAATATGTTCCTATGCACAGTCACGCAGCGATGTATTTGATCAATAATATGTTGGCACATATTTGATACATTTTTAATAGTTTTAAGCCCGTTTCCCATATTTATCCCTTATTTTGTTCCCAGGTTTCACGCTCGACAAAGAATCTAATACGTTTGCGATAATCTGTCAAGATGTTATCGTTGTTCTTGCGTTCGACACGAGGGAGAGGCTCATCCAGTGGCAGGTCAAAGTTGCCAGTAACCTAGGAGAAGGTGAGCAACTTTCAATTTATCCACACTTTTTTAAATTTCGGATAAAAACAGCCAAACTCATAGACTTACTGTAAAATTGGTATTTTAAAAAAGAAAGAAAGAAAGAAAAATCAATTTCATTAAATTTTTCTTCATGCCGCAATATTACATGTTCCGTAAGTAGGCAAATACGTTAAAAGCAAGTTTTCTTCTCAGATATAAATTTTCTCTTGCTCAGAATGAAGAGCGTAAATATTGGAGCCCACGTCAAGTAAGTTCTCGCGCTTTTAGAGTGCAATAGAAAATCCATTACTTGATTCTTGGATTTACTTTCAATGCATAGTTATCTGATCTTCTGTCGCACTTCAGTAGTGCGTCAAATTTAGAGTATGTATCTACTCTATCACCAAAAATCAGATTCTGCCGGTTACGGACCCTCCGTCATACTTGCGTGATTTCAAACTTCTAATTTTAGCGGTATTTTCTCAAATCGCTGCTGCCAAGTTGATACCAAGAAAATTTCCTAATGACAAGATGCATTATTTGTTCCAAATTCAGAAAGTTTGTAGCTAACAATAAGCTGTTAGCGTCAATTGGAATCAGAAAACAATATTTTTAGATTTCGATTAAAACCGCTTTCATCCGCGGGGTTTAGTTCGTTTTCGTACCACTGTAGCGCGCAAGACGAGAAAATGCGAAAGTCCCATTCATATCTCGGGTAAATCATCATGTTTTACGGGCTAGAAAGCTTTTACCGTCATTCGCTCATTCGATCTGGCAACACTCACTACAAAATACTACGTGTAGTACTACGATGAGTACGATAATGATTTCTTGGCCTCTTATTGGTCCGTTCTGTTTTGAATGGTTCATTCATGAATTGCGTAGTGCTCATGGCGCATGCGCAGCACGCGACGCGAGCACGTAAGGCATGGAGAATGGAGCAGTTTGGTTGTAAACCAACGAAGCAAAGTTGATTCTTCTTTTGATTGTTTCGACGCAGATTTCTTGGTTGATTAAAAATAATGTGTGAAACCAAGGGTGTAATGATGTTATATCTTCATTCAAATTTTAGCAAACATCTTAAGAACATAATTTTTCGGTATGTTTAATGTTTACTTTTTCAAGTTTGACGTGCAGATTGGTCAAAAATTTGGTTCACCAATCAATTGTAGTTTAATTTCTTCCCTCATAATCATTAAACCTCAGCTGGATTTAGAATTTACATACCATACACGTATGGACACAGACATTTTACCCGCAAATAAATCTATCGTATTTAAATTAAGGAGGAATAAACTTTTGAAGTTGAAAAATGATGCGGGATAATTTCAACGCTGAACTCACTGGTTGCCTTCATTACACAAATCGCCTCCTTTTGGCACATTCTTACCTATCTACATTCATCCGATTTTACGCACAATGTATTCATTTTAGTGTGTAATCTTATGAGTTAATCGACGGTGTAAGTCAGCAATCACATAACTCGTCTGCAGTGTCTGAAAATCTCCACCTCTAGGCATATTATTTTTTCAAAGGAGAACAAATTGACATTATTCCTTGAAGTTTTTGCAGATTTTTCTTCACAGAGAAGAAAAATTGCGACAGTTTTAAATGATTGCCATTGAGTAGTTTTCCGATTAAAAAATAAAGTATGATAGGAAGTCTGCGACATTTGCAAACCGAGTCATGTGATTGCCGACTTACACCGTCGAAATACATATATATATCACCGATCAAACATACAACAAAAATTAATGATAAAATACCAGGTTACAAACCTTCATGTTTACTCATTCTTAACGGGTTTTTTATTTTTCAGATGTCCAGTTCCTAATACAACTGGCATCAGCTCCAGCAAAAGCCAAAATAAGCCCTGGTCCAGCAAGACTGCATGTTCAGGATTTACGATTCTGTCTGACCACAGGTGTTCCTCCACGGCTAGCAGGCTGTTGGAACATCAGCCACCTCCGTCGGTACGGAGTTGTAGAAAATCGATTTTGCTTTGAAGGCGGCTCACAATGCGGCCGAGGCGAGGGACTCTATGTTCTTCTGAGCGATCAAGGAGAACAGATCACTCAAACAATGCAGGCAGCGGCAGAAAATAAACTGTCCACCAGGAGGAGGCCTGTTGCCCGAAACATGTCAGGTAAAAATGGCTGCACCTAATTTTTCTTAATTTTGATAGGCTTTGCTTGATTTGTTTATTTATTTCTACTGTCAAGAATAAATTATTCATAAAGAATGATTCTGTGCCAAGTTTCGGTGCAATTCTTATCGAAAGCGCATATGAATAGGCAGAAGATTCAATTTTGAAACATATTTTTGATGCAATAAATTTAGATTCCATTGCAAAGCTGCAAAATTTTTCTTGACAACTTTATTCTTCATTCATCAGCAAGTGCACTCTTCTATTAAACATTTCAGTGAATTTTCATGAAACTCTTTAAGAAACGAATGAACAGAAACTTTCAAGATGACTCGTCTTACGTTCTTGGCATGGTTAAAGTGGCGTGCGATAGGTGTATTGCATCAATTAAGTAAATAATCTCAGCATATTTTGACTTTTTAGCAGTAAAAAAGACTATGGTTCCTGCGTAGGTATGAACTGAGAAAATCATTCACACCCTAAATAAATGTATGCAAAACTCAGAGAAATGAAAGTTGGATTCTTCTCAGGGAAAATAGTTGCATTCACAACAGATTTACATTGTTATATCAAATGCAATGGCTTTTTCAATAAGAATCCTGCTTTCATCACTCTGATTTTTGCTAATTTTTTGGTTTCAAATTATTCATTGGGCATGTGCAAGGATTATTGTCCCTTTTTGGCTAAAATTCAAAATCTGCCGAGATCTCTAACTTAATCAATTAAATAAATAGCAATTTCTTATCTGTTGGAATTAGCATAACTCTTCGTTCTTTTTATTGTATCCAATCCACAAGCATAGTGAACATAAGTAAGTCTCTTTATGTTAAACGACTAATTCTATAATTTGCTCTCCTTTTATTCCAGTCATGGATAGTCCTAGAAAAATGATGAACTCTCGAGCAGGAACAAGGACTCCCGACTTCAGTTGCTCCGAATCATACACTAGCCAACGAATCAGTGTCTTAGACTCAAACCAAAGGATAAATGATGATGGAACAAGTTTCTCGATGAGTCGTCAAAGTGCAGAGGACCTTCTTGGTTGGCCTTCTTCAGAAACGAGACCCGGAAGTTGTGATTACGCAGATACTGCCTCTGTTGGAGAGTACGGTCCTGCCCCAAACATACCGGTATTCATTTTTTTTAATCAACTCCAAACTCCATAGCTTCAGTACTTTTTTCTCAGAAAATTAGCAGAAGATTTTTCTTTGTACTATCTTACTAATTTTTTTACTCTTAATTGTCGGTATTATTTTTTCAAATGGAAATTAAACATACCAGGAGCAAAGAGACTTTCTGACCACTGACCAGTCCTGTTGCAAGCAGGCCAAGTGAAAGGAGATTTTTTTCTACCTAAATGCTTTTTTTTTTTTTACTGCATTCTATCAGTGAAAAATTCCAAGTGTATGGAGGGAATAGTTTTCATTTAATTTCAGTCTTTAGTAGGAATTGATAATTTTTTTTTTAAATTTAATTGAATTCAGAGAAAGGCTCGGTGTAATCTTTCAACTCCCTTGAAATACAGTCTCCCCATTGAGATCTGTGGTAGATATTTTTCACAGTGCATGTTTTAACTGACCAGCTCTGTTTAACGCATCAATCTTTTAACGATTAGCATGGCAAAAAATTGAGACTCATCAAAAATATTATATAGTATATAAGTATATAGCATACTTAATGAACTCTAAGAGTGCATCTCTACAAAGAAGAATGTAACATTTTTTTATGTCTATGTTTCTTTATTATATCCTTTTTCTGTGCAGGAATGTGGTGAAAATACCCTGGGAAGATGCGCTAGCTGTATTAGTAAATTAGGTATGATGTCTAGATCGTCCACTGCTACGACAGCTTTCAGCCCTGCCTGGACTATGGAAAACTCAGGTATTTTCATTCAACTATATTTCTTTTAACGCAAGTTTTGCAGTTCAGTTTGCATTTTGCACCATCATCACTTAACAATTTTTAAACTTTAAAAAAAAAAATTTCTCTAATCGTTTTTATACATTTTTCCCCGTACTTTATAAATAGTTTACATAAGAAATGCCAGAAATAGAATCCTATTTTGTATGTTTCAATACAGTCGTTCTTGTCATGACCTTTCTCGAAATTGCAGTTTTATGGACATGTTGCAGGCAAATAGTGGAATCAGGCATTTTGTCAAATGCCTAGGCAGATAGTTAAATTTTGACGGTTTTCAATATTTTTGGAAGAATAACTCATGAAACCTACGAACTCTTTTTGTCTCTTCCCCTTCAATTGCTTCTCATATTTTCAAATATTGAAATTCCGAAAATTCTGTATTTATGATATGCTGAAAGATAAATAGATAAATCAAGATAATTCAAGATAAATGGCTGCTCAGCTAAAAATTGTTTAAAATACTATTGTGTGATTCACATTTTTACTTAGAATGTTTTTTCACATGAACAATGAATTATTTTCTGTAAAATTAGGAAAATAATCAAAATTTCAAACTAAGTTGGAATATTTGACTTTTGCCTAGGCATTTGACAAAATGCCTGAATTTACCAGTTGCCTGCGACAGACGTAATGTTCTACTGCTCATTCCCTTTTGAAAACAAGACGGCGAGACATGATTGAAGTTTTTTTTTCATTTTTTGAAGATCAAATTTGACAGTCCATGCTATCGGGGCTGTTTTTCAATGTTTATTACCTCTCGAAGTACTGATTGTTGGTATTTTTATTTATTTTTTAGTGAATTGTAGGCACCTGAGTGTGTACTCTCAAGACAGTAGCACAAGTGGGGGTAGCGGGAGTGGAAGCGGTAGTGGCATGGAATATTCTGTGCCGAGAACTTCGTTACGAAATCTAGCCACACCTGTTCCGACACGTGAACATCAACCTCATCCGTTGTAAGTGACATTCCATCAAAGTTAATCACTGTAGAATAAGTACATTTTAGGTGCACCACCCAAGTAGCATTCCTCAACAGAAAAATTGCTGTATATTGCGATTTTATCGGCGATAAAATCGCCAGGATCATCAAGTATGAGTGAGTATCCTCGATCTTATTGTGATAAAATTGCGCTTTTATTGCCTGACAATTGATTGCGATATTTTCAAAATGAAAATCGCGATAAATGGCAATTTAATCTCAATTTTATCGACAAAAATTGATCACGATTTTATCGAACAAAAAATTGCAATACGTAGCGATTTAATCGCCATATATTGCAATTTTGAATGCAATAATATCTCGATATATTGCCATTGATATAATTGCGATAATTAACTGATAAAATTGCTATTTTTCATGATCACTGCTACTTTGGCAGTTCAGTATGCAAGTTTTTAAACATTTTATGTAGAGCAGCTGTTTTATGCAGGTAGACATGCCGTACGTAAGAGTGAAATTCTTCCCTAACCTAAGGACGGTGTAAGTCAGCAATCACAGAACGCGTTTGCGGTACCTGAAAATCTCCGCCTCTAAGTTATTTTTTTTGAAGGAGAGCAAATTGACATCATTCCTTGAAGTTTTTGCAGAATTTTCTTCGCACAAAGAAGGAAAATCACAGCAGCTCTAAAGAATTGCCGTTAAGTAGTTTTCTGTTTAAAAAATAAAGTATGACAGGAAGTCTGCAACTTCACAAACCGAGTTATGTGATTGCTGTCGATATGTATGTTAACTCTTGAGACTTGTGCTTTGATTTGTTAAAGATAATCAAGGATCTAACTTGTTTTTGCCGAGTGGAATTGCATCAAATACCATGACACAATCCTAAATGAGTTGAAATACTCAACTCATAATAATACTAAAAATAGTGATTAGAAATAGTAATCTGTCAGCTAATAAGAGGCTTTATTGGAAAAGTCATACAGACAAAGTTGGTATTTCAGCCAACATGCGCTGATCTTCTGAGTAAATCAGAAAAGGTTTTCTATGTGTCCAAAACTGCCTTTCTGACGGAGCATAATTTGTGTTGCTCCTAACAGCATTTTTTTTGTGCAGAAATTGTCAGCAAAATGCAATATTTCTTTGTACAAGAGAAACTTGTTCTGCTTTACTCCGAAAATTGGTGATCGTTAGCTGAAAAGTCAACACAGGTTGATCGTGCTAAAAAAATCAACATTATCCTTATCTGCCATGTTCAGAGTAGATAAATTCAAGTTTGTGCCCTCTATTGGTTCAACGAATCTGAATGGCTCACAACTCATTCTTCAAGACGCTGAGAAATGCATTTCTGGTCTCCTGTAATATATGAATGAGAGTATGAATAAAGTGTGAAAGGAAGATTGAATAAACCAAGTAATTAAACGAGTAAACTAATACTTGAATATAATAAAGAGAAAAAGAAGTATATTTCAGTGAAGACTTGAATTCAAACTTTTCCACCCAATCGGACGAAAATTATTCTCTTTAAAAATTTGTCTAGTTGCGGCAAAATCGGTTTCACCAATCATTCGCTCAAATTAAATTTAGACGAATCACATGACTGAAAATGAACTTGACAAAATCAAATTAATTTTTTGGAACCATGAGATTTCATATCCTCACTCGTGTATGAAATCCTTCTCATTTTCTCCTGGAAATGATGAACATCTTGAAGCGCAGGGACAAACTTTGTAATTACCGCGCTGATGTTGAAGGTCTTTGTGCTTCTTATCACCAGTTTTTTTCCGAGAGGGAGCTGGTAATTAAATTTCCATCCTTCGTAATCTTTGTCTTGCGTGCTTTGGTTTTGCTGCTCTATGCAGAGTCTGTTTACCTTGTAATCAGTCTCGGTCTCGCAATAACAGCGAATCGACGGCTCATTTTTATTTTTCCGGTTGAAAATGGAAATGTTAATATTCTGAAACGTTCCGGTTTTTTATTTATTCTTTGTTGGTTCTTTTTGCAGACTTTTCCCCAAATTAAGTTGTTATTTTACTATGTGAATTTTGGCTGATTAAGTTGTTTTTCATTTGTGTATGAACTTTTTTACAGATCTAGTTTACCTCCCTCCATGGATCATTGCCACTGCTGTCCGCCCGTTCGGCCTCCAAAGCCAGCTCAACTCAGTGTACAAGCCAATAGTAATCAATCATCCCCAATCAAGAAGAAACTCAGAAAACCTCCAATGCCTCTACCGGTAACGGTAGCCTCAACATATCAACCTCCCAATATTAGTACCTCATCGACCAATGTCCATCAGTGCCCATCTTGCTCAGTTGTCTTCTCAAATAATCCTTACAATAACTACGATGTGCCAAAAACTTTGAACTTCTGCTGCAACTCACAGGTAAGTTAATTAATTTCTATCCCTTGTTTGTGAATTTTCAGTCACTTTACAGGGTTGCCACAGTCAGGGAAAACCGGGAAATGTCAGGGAATTTTAAAAAGTCAGGGAAAACCGAGAAATGTCAGGGAAAATTTGTTAAATCTTCTTTATTTGCTTTCTAAAATGGGTTTGAGGTTTTGAACTACAAATTATGCCTGAAAACTATTTTCAATTATGTCTTCGTCACCATTTGACATATTTTCAATTGTCAAGGAAATCAGGGAATTTCATTTTCCAAATTTTGTGGCAACCCTAACTTTATGATCTTTGATAGATCGTCAAAGTATGAAAAAATTCTCATCAAACAATAATGTGAATATAAAAAACGTAGCAAAAAATACTTTTTTGGAATTCATCAGAGCAAAATTTTGCAGTAACTTTTTTAGAAATTGTGAGGGATGATAAATAGCAAAAATAATAAATGTACATACTATCTACCACCAAATATTGAAGGGTCACCATCACTTTTCTTGCTCCAGTGGCTACCTCAGCATCTACATGATCTATTCAAATTGAAATTTCTTTAAATTTTGATCTTGCAATGAGAGTTTTTCTAATATAATAGCATAACTTTATTTTTTAGTCCTTTTCCAGGTCAATTTTTCAGATAGATTATTCCTCGCTGAAGGAGGAATCTGCGCTTAACAGTATATCTAATTCAGAAAAGCGTCTGTGAAATTAAATGTCTTTACTGTCCAATGGAGAATTTGCACGCAATTTTTTTATTGCTTCATCTGAAAGTGCCTAATGAGCTGAGTTCGCAATATTTTTCATAATTTTTTTCTGACATGGGAAATTGGAGAAAAATTGATTTAAAAGTGAGAAAATGCGCCGCCTTGTGACGTCATCTGGCGGCATTTCCCATTTAAACACATGTATTTTAGCAGAATCGGTTATTTTGTCATATCTCCTCTAATAATCGCTCAATTTATGAATCAAGGGTATCTTCGTGTTCAGTTCACTCAGAGGATTCCACTTAAACAGGAAATTCATCAAATTTCAGACCCTTGCAAATTCTCCATTTAGATGAATATAATCCTTATGTTCATATGCCACAGGTCACTGTCACTTACTCTTTACAAAATATAAGTATTAAAGCATTCACCATAATCACTTAAATAATATCCAAGAACTTAATTTAGCTCTTAAATTTTAGTAGAAAACTTGTGCTGAAATTACGTCTCAAATATTTATCCTAAAATATTTTTCCTCAATTTTTTACAGGATACCTCTCGGATGAATCGAATACCCAACTCTCACAAAAATGGTGATTTGTATGATATGCCGCGCAGTATAAAATCTGCCCTGGAAACTAGTCGTGTGTTTGACAACTATGACACACCACCTATACCAGTAGCCCTAAACCAAACCTCATCAGGAAGTGAGAGGTGCGTTTCTCTTTTTACCCAATTTTCATTCTGGACCCCTTATAAATCAGATTTACTCATAGCTGTTTTTGTTTTTACTTGAAGCTTTAATAAACCTTCAAGAAAAAATGTTCATTGCATCTAGTACAACCTTTTAAATTCACAAAACTATTCAACTAAAAATTCGGTCATTTTGAGATTTGCATTATCTATTAGGGGAAAGTATATTGAACTGTAAAAGTCCCTCAACGATTCATGAAACAATTCCTTGAATCGAGAACAAGAACAACAATAAGATTTGATGATTCTTTGCGCTTGGAGGAACATACACTGTAGTTGTAAGACAAAACTGAAATTAAGTGACATTATTAGCCGTTTGCAATGCCTATCTCAGGAAATTACAAACTGAGGGTCTGTGGGAGAAGTTCCTTTTAATAACTTACAGAAACACTAGGTTTAAATTTCGTTTCAGGGTTTAAGCATTCACTGTCCTTCTTTGTTTTCAGATGTATATGATATTCCCCTAACTTTTGTACTTTTCTCTTATTTCAATCATTTGAATGGCTATGATGAACTCATCCCTTGGTATTCCTTGGTAATTCTTATTGTGTTTTTTTTTTTTATTTTTCTCAGAAAAATTCTTGATCAAAGCAATTCAAGTACGCCATCTCACTATTGCTCGGTGGAAAACGGAATTTGTGTCCCTAACAACACAATTCAGAGAGTAAGTACCCCTCCTTTTAAGCACCTAGGAGATGCAGAAAATTGAGTCGGAAAATTCTTTAAACATACTTTCCTTTCACGATTTTTTGTGTATGTTTTAAGTTTTTAAAACTAATTTACTCCAAATATTTTATATAAAAGAGGCTTTTAGCTGTGACACGTAGCAATATATTTTGAAAGACAAATTAAATTCGTGGAAAAATTTACCGTTGAGATAAAATTTTTTCATTTTAGAGCACATAATTACACACATTTTCAGCTTTTATTGAAGTGAATACGAATCAATCACAAATGAAAGTTTCATTCATCCTTTAAAATTGGACTGAGTTCAGCAAAAAGGAACTAAGTCTCTTGGGAAACAGGAGGTCTGCTTTTCTTTAAAAAAATATTTATTTCTCATGAAGAAAAGCTTTTGTTAACAAATTGGATGTTTAATTTTTGTTTATTTATTTTCAACCAAGAAAATCAAATTTGCTGCAAAAATAATTATTTATTCAATTGTTAATAACTTCATTCCATTATTTCTAATGTAAAGAGAGCCAGATTAATTTATAGAAAGGAACTAAATGCATGCTGTTGCTTCTAGAGTTTGTTTGAGTAAGGCACGAGCACTCCATACATTTGCTGTAAGACTTGACTCCTCTCTGTAAAACTCAATCCAGTTATAGCAATCGTTTTTTCTAGCCATAGCATACATCCATAACTTCATGTATTGTTCCTTAATAATGAGCGATTAAAATCGAGGAGGGTTCCGGAGGAATAAGGACCCATACAACATGAAGTTGGTTCTATCGGTTGTTTTATTGGAACAAGGGATAGCTCTTGTCGCAGCTACACTGCCGTCCTTTCAAATAGCTGCTGCTTACAGAAATATGCATAGCTGAGCTGTTATGATGGACTCCTCTATCAGAACCATCCTCAAATACAATCCAAATTTAGTGTTACATTTCTTTATCAGTTTTGGATTTAATTGTGATTGATAACAAAATGTTTCTCCTCTGTTTTACAGGTAAAATTGAGTGGAGAAGGCAAAATGCCTGTTGTGAACCAACAGTCTGGAGAACTAGCAATTTATGCAACTGTAAATAAAGCAATGAAAACCAAGTATGCCCAAGAGCTAAATAGTGAAAATTCAAAAACAGAAGAGACAGCGGTAAACCATGAAACTAGCAACAATTACATGAACATAGATGCCAAAAATAACAAATCCTGCTCCTCTGAAAAACCGTTGTGTACTTCAAATTACCAAAATTTTGAATTCGAACAGTCTTTAGAATATTATGAGAATTCAAAACAGTTGAGAGAAAAAGTTCTAGGTGATGGAACAGAATCAGCTCAGAGTAACTCGAGTGAAAAATACAGAACTAGTCTCAATGGATCAAATGATAACGGAGCAAACTTCTGTCAGAAATGTGGACACGCCTGCACACCTAACTCAAACTTTAGCGATCAGAATAAGATGAACGGCAAAGGTCACGAGGATTACCTCGTAATGGAGCCTGGTGGTGTTCAAAACCAGACATTGACTGACAATCCTTCAAGACCACCTCAACATTTCTTAGGATACTTGCCAATGTCACCCATCTCAAATCTTAGTTGTCTGAGCAAGAATGAGCTGCTTAAGCTCAAATTAAATAATGAGAGGAACCATGAACGCTCAGCCAGCATTCCAAGTCTGTACGGTCCAAACTTCGATAAGTGTCGCCGGAGAACAGAATCAGACTTTGTGAGGATACCTGGCTCAGCGATGTTGGGTATCAATCGGCCAGCATCTGCATGCACCAGCCCGTACTTGAGGAGGCATTCAGTAGATAGGAAGAGATCCAATTCTGCTGAGTCGACGCGGCATCCAACGGACCTCGAGTGTATATCAGAACGCCTCTCGTCCGCAACACCCACACATACTGCCAGTAGTCAGAACTCTTCTATCGACTCTCTTTCAAGCCAAAGAATTGTAAGTACTGTTGAGAATGATAAAAAGGCACTGTCAAGTGACAGCGATAGTTCGTTGCAAACGTTAGTCCGTGACACTGTCGATGACTCACAGTCTCAAACGGTACACATCCGGAGATCTTCGAGCGTGCCTTGCAAACCAGGAAACAACAGAGATTCCTCAAGTTCGAATGATTCAGGAGTCTCTACAGGCTCATTAAAGCAACGAGGAAGCGATTTCACAGATTTTGAGCTTCCCACAACTACCTCAAGGTCGACCAGACAGCATAACATTGCGATGAGTCAAGGACTTGTTGGCCACTCGACTTGTCTGCATGCTTCTCTACCAAGAAAGTCCAAGTCCCAGGACCCGTTAGGAGAGTTGATGTTTGAATTTCAAAAAGAAAAGGTACCTGCCAAATCTTCCTCTGCTGAGGCCGAGATTCCTGTTTGTGTTCCAAAATTAGAATCTTCCAAAGGTAAATACCTCATGTTTTGTATTATGTTTTTACAGTGAGATACGATATGTTGTCCTTAGTGAGAAGGAGAGTGAATATGAGATGCATTGCAGCGAAATGTAATTCTCATTTAAAAAATATCTTTACAGAATAACAAGCATGATCAATGACACTAGATCCATTCAATGAGTAAATTAACTTGATTGCTTAGTGAAAAATTAATTACAAATCCTTAAAAGTATACATTTTTCATCAAATTTCTTTACTTAGGTTTTTAATGAAAAATCAATCTAACATCACTTGAATTAATTACATGGAATAGATTGATTGACTCATATTCATGAAGGCAACTGATGATGAGAGGGTGACTGTTAATTTTTGGAAATGCCTGTTGCAGGTAAAAAGATGAAGCTCCCCCTCATTGCCCCAAAATTTGATTTAACTTCTGTGATTCATTCATAACTCAACATCTAATTTTATTTTTAAACAGTTTTTTTTAAAAATGATAATGATAGTGGCACTATCGCCGCAGAAGAGGGAGGGCAGCGGACTCTCTGTTAAGTTAAAGTTTTAGCGATTTTATCCCTAATTTTAGTTTTTTTACATGTATATAAATTGTATAAATTTAAATTGGAAGCAATTTCTTGTGGTGTATAACAGTAATGCAACTAACGTTCGTTAATTTGATTTGCTATTTTAATCTTTTCAGAGTGTGTTCCTGTCTATACTGACTCACGTAGTACAAGTAGTGGAACTTCAGATATGAGTGATTACATCGAGACTCTCTCATTGTCCTCTCATAGTTCCTCTGACACACCAGAGGGTTTCAGGTACCCACTGCATTATTTTTTATCAAAGTCAAGCTTTATCCAGTCGCAACAGAGAGCCATTAAGAAGGGAATGGAAGTTTAGACAATTCGATTTAAGAGATTCATCTCTGCTAAGAAGGAGTGAGAAAACAAAGAGAGAGAGAGAGAGAACCTCCTTCTGTCAAATGAAAACCTGGCTCTGTGTAAAATATCCTCAGAGCTTTGCAGATATATTTTACATGGAGGCAAATCTATCACTGGCAGAGTGGGTAGTCAGATGATATTCCGACTAACTCACCACTCTGTGGGCCCAGAGCATTTTAAAATTTACACCTCCTGAAATAGTGTGGGAGAGCAAAAATGATCAAACTTAATCAAATTGCAATTGAGAAACATTGAAGTTGAAAAAGGTGTGCTTAAAATTTACAGGAAAATAAAAAGACTGTCAAATACTTTTCTGTTGGCCTGTTACAAGCAAATTTGATTTACAGGTTTTTAGAAAATGATGACATGAGAAAAAGTGGGAGAAACATTAAAATAAAAAGTCATAATAAACATCCCTGGGCATAAAATAGTGAGATGAGATTCAGGTGGAAACAAATAGAAAAATAACTTGGAGGTTTAGCCAGACAGTCACTTTCAGGGTCAGTGGATGTGATCTAGCGGAGTCCAAAGAAATGACTGAGAGAAAATCCCCAAGAAGACTTGGCTGGAAAGAAGACTGATCTGACGTCTCGCTGTGTACTTGTGCTAAAAATTTTAAATTTGAATTGCTGTATTGCCAAAACCAATATGGAGCCCAAGCTAGGTTCAGTTTGAGGTTTCATTTTGACCAAATTAAATTCAGCTGCCAGGTTACAGAAAATAATGACAACTTTTGTGACTCTTATTGAGAAATTGGTATAGCTGTTAAGTTGGAAAAGAGTTAAACTGTAACGATTTGTTGTGGCACCACAATATTGATGATGCATCCGTTCAGTACAAATCATAGCTGCAGAAGTTTAGTTGTAAAGTCAATAATTAAATTTTGGAATTATATTTTTTATATTATTTTTAAGCTTATGTTTACCTCTATTTCAGATTGGGGAGAACTACGTTGAGGCCTCGCTCAGGAAATGAATATCAGAAGATTGACCGATTTTTCCTTTCTGGAGATTTAAAGGTATGTACTCAAATTGAATCCCACCAATAACTTACCTATCATGATCACCAGTCCTTCATCGTAAATGGAGGAGTTTAGTAAAATTGTTTGTATGGCCAACGGACAAAAATTGGTCGCCTCTTTGATTTTTAACACCTCTTATATATATATTGATGGTCAAGATATTGTTTCAAAGTTATATTTACCTACTTTACATGAGTATGTTATTTCCAGCGTCTAGTCAGTGCACGAACTCACCCAAGAAGTTTCCTGGTCTTAATGAAGATGATTTGATGCTGCTAAGGCACTCTAAAATTACATTGGGAAATGTTTAACTCTTCCGATTTTTGAACTGTAAAATTATCCCTCCGTTTTTTTTTCACCCTCAACCTTCTAAAAATGTAAAATTTAATTAAATCTGTTTCATTGCTTCAGATGGACGGCAAACAGTTACCACCGTATATGAATATTACGCCTTTATTTGAAAAGCCTGAACTTTCGCCTTCATCTGGATATTCATCCGTACAAGAATTTCATTAGCATGTGGAACCAGATCTTATCCTGACCTCAAGCACTCTGTGGCAGCTGCCAACCTATCAACATTTTCCCCCTAAAGTCTATCGCTTCAACTAGCCTGAGGGAACACCACTACTTTCTTCTGTCGTGAGCACTTATCTTAAAAATTTTTGTTAATGAAGATTTGCTCCCAATGCCAATTTTTCCTCAGACTTACTTGTGCCCTGAATCATTCTTAAATAACTACAATTAATACTAATTTATCGATGAAACAGAGAAAAAATTTAAAATTAACCTTGCAAATTAATGCGCAATTTAGTTCACAGGAATCCATTTTACCCGTCAATTTTTTGCTGATTCAGTTAGAACATAGTGTATCAGTATTTTTGTCACATGCAACTCCTGATTTTGAGAAGGTCAAAATAATCATCTTTGATCTATTGCTGATGAACTAACCACAAATTAAAGCTCAACTTTTATGAAAACACATAATAACTTAAACTTTTTAAGCACTAATTGTGAACTGTGTGTTCACAAGTAGCTCTAACTAGCACCTACAACGTTCTTTGCTTTATGTTATCTTAATTAACTTAGAAAGATGTATTCATTTTTTTGAGAATGAAGCAAAGACAGGGTTATTTATACATATGTAGTATTCCATATTACAAGGAAAAAGTGTGCCCCTCTCAAAATAATATTTCAAATACCAACTAAGAATACCTGACCTTCAGAATATGGACTGTGTCAAAAATAAGGTAGTGAACCACAATTGTGACACGAATAGAGACTTGAAAGTAATTTCATATTCTCTTTCTATTCATTTTATGTGTGAAGAGAAGAGGAACATATAATCATCTGTCGAATTTGCCATTTGAGAAACCTCATCGAAAAACTTCCGATGAGCGAAGGATACACAATTTTCTTTCAAACTTTTTTCTGTGAATTAATTTTCTACAACCAAGAATAGTCTAGAACTACAAACTACCTTTTATATGACGATAATCTTTGTAAAATTTTGCCTGAAAAAGACAAATTTATGACTTACCTCAGTATGATGGTGAGCATCTGTTATGTACCTATATAAGGCTACATTCACATGGCTGATGGCACCTTTGAAATTTTACCGACACCTAGAGTTGAAAAACTCTTTGAGGGCTTGAAAAATGTATGCAAGAAAAATTAAATGAGTTGCATAAGGAAGTATAAAGTATTTTGAGTGAAACTATTCAATTGTATCTAAATCAAGTCTTCTTTGATTGTACAAAGTGTATAAATTCTTAATTTAATGTGGTGCATTTTGCCTAGTCAGTATCAGTTTTGTGTATAGTAGAGGCTGTTTTTCACAGTGTTTGTTGATTTACCTTTTTCTTTTTTACAAGATACATTGTATACTTACAGCCAATATTTTCCATCTTTTAATAATTTCATAAGTACTTGGTTTTTCATTTGATTTAGACAAAATAAGTTTAAACAATAAACGAACCAAGTTTAAAATTTGTCTTTTGTTTTCCTCATTCCTCTAGAATCCTACAGTCTGTATGTGCAGTTAAGAGCCAAAGAGTGGTAATTGAATTAGAGTCCACGACAAATAAGTTTAAGCCCTTCTTGACGGTTATGGGGCATGTCAGGGAGTTTGATTTGGTCCAATGGAGTAAAATTTATAATCGAGATTTTGGTAAAAATGGGAGAGCATCAATTCCATGATGGCAAATTCACTAAAACTTTCTACACCTCTTCGGTACAACAGGACTTAATTATCTTTCAAGGAAATCCCATCTTGTTATACAAATTTGTCGTTGGCGCTTGCAAACCGAAAGTAAACAACCGTCAACTTAGCTGACGACACCTCTACCTGTCTAATATATCGATCCTGTCGAGGAACTTCCTGTCCTCCTTTGTTTGTATATTCAAAATACAAAAATTCCGAGTCTGCTGAAAATTCGAATAATTTATGAATTACTGTATCTTTTTATGAATATGCTAGGACAGCAGGACAGGGCGTGGACCTTCTAACCATCTCATTTACCTATGACCCTGAAGCTGAGTCTTTTTTCGATGTGAGTACGAGGAAAGAATGCAAAAACGGCACTTCTCCATTACAGTGATTTTTTAATTATGAAGGAGATTCAGTAAAACTGCCGTTTCTTTACACAAATTTTTCCCTGTCAAGAATAAAAATCTCAAGGAAAAGTAGGATATCAAACTCTCCACCGTTTCAGACTGTTTTTGCTTGACCACTTTCTGCTGAATTCTGAGTCCTCGCCAAATAAGTTTTCACACATTTAGACTGCGACGGAAGATCCACCATCTTGATTCTTGCTGTGATTCAATGATAAAATGATGTTGCACGATCTTCTGTTGAAGTCCGAAAGGTTTCAGGACATTCCGTCAACGACTTTTTGTCCAAGTACCTGTTTTGTTCAGTAGTATAAGAGAGAGAGACACAATAGCCCAAACGCAGACAACAATAAAAATACACTAAAATACAAAAAACAAATGGGTATACGAGGCCAGAGGAGACATAAAACAAACCAGGACGTTTCGGGCCAATTACATGCCCATTCTCAACTGGAACAGAAGCTAAAAAATATAAAAATTAAAACAAGAAAATGAGCATGCAACTGACCGAGGTAGGAAACAGTACAAACTTTCTTGTTTTAATTTTTACATTTTTTAGCTTCTGTTCCAGTTAAGAATGGGCATGTAATTGGCCCAAAACTTCCTGGTTTGTTTCATGTCTCCTCTAGCCTTGTATACCCATTTGTTTTTTGTTTTTTTTTGTATTTTAGTGTGTTTTTATTGTTCAGTAGTGTATGTGCACGCATAAAATAAGCAAGGGTGACTTGGTCCAAGCGTTATATTTTAGTCTGTGTGTAAAATTATTTTGACAATATCGAAGTGAGAAAATTGAGAGATAAGGAGGTGTTGATAGGTATGGTAACTCATTTTTTAAATGAAATGTTACTTTCTCCTTTTGATTCATCTTTTCAAATTGTCATTGGTGAATATTTGGTTTTATTACAATTCTTTTTTCGATATAAAATGCATCTTATATATACCTCTTTTTTTTAATAAAAATATGACTTCACTTTGAAGTCATTTACATTTTTTAAATAGCAAATATTTGTAAAACTATTCCCAAGTGTTGGGATCGATATTAACATCATTCCCGCCCGGCAAAATTACTTTGTGGCAACGTTGCCAAAACGTTGCAATTTCGCCATTTACGTATTCAGGCAACGTTGTGGTAACGTTGCCACAACGTGTAATTTTGTCAGCTTGCATGAACGTAATTGGCAATGTGTCTGCAATGTGTTTTAGCAACATAATGGGAATGTTGCAAAAATACGTTTTAGCAACATAATGGGAATGTTGCAAAAATACGGTGAAAAAATTTCGGTGAATTATTTTAGGAGTACTCTGCATTTTTACTCCTAGATTTCAATGTGGACCGCAGAGAAGCGTTTCTTAGGCACCCGAAATTCACTCTAAGTCCGATGGTAGCCGCGCTCCGCCCGGGTTCCCAAGCGGGCTCCCATCGAAGTACTAACTACGCCGGAAACTTGCTGAACTTCAGTGATCGCCCGTGTGTCGCTGCCACTCAGCTACGAACGCTCGCGTGATAGTGATTGGTTATTTAGCATTAATAAACATCCCTAGATCTGGTTCAATGATAGAAAGCAATGATATTCTTGCATTTCTGTGCTTAATTCTACAACGAAGGATACTGAACATAATATTAGGAAGATCAAGTTTTTAAAAAAAAGGAGTATGAAAAAAAAAATTAAAAAAGAATTGAATAAATATATTCATTTTATATAAATA